TTCATCTCCTGTCTTTGTTACATACTGCAAACATACGCTCATCAACTCACAACCAATCTTGCCTGCATTCCAAAAATAGACCAAAGCACTTTGCCTCTATCACATCCCAAAAACATTGAGCCTTTATTACATTCTAAAAAAATTAACCATGAACAACATCAACCACCACTCTACAGCTCCTGAAACTTTGGACTCTCCACCTTGCAATTCCAGCCTCAACCATGAGCCACAAACCTCTTTCAACAGTACCAATAGGCAGCAAACCTCTTCCAATGATACCAATTATTCAACATCAGACCCAGATGGTGTATACACCACAGAACCACAGATCATTCTGATTATTCCGGGTCTGATGATGAACACTTCTCATCACCACCAGGTGATACCAATCCAGAATCCTCCAAAGGTGAAAATACAATACTTGATCTTTCTCCTAAAGATCAACACATCAACAATCTAGTTGAGCCTCTCTTTTGAAAAGGTCACAAAGGGCTGGAAATCATATGTGTCCTCTCTGAAGATCGTGGAATCAAAATTTCACCTCAAACCTTATCACATAAGCAAAATGAATGGTCACTCCAGAGGTGTGATCTTTCTCAGGCCCCTATTCCTGCTCTGCTATCCCTTGAAGTACAAGGCTCAATTTTATTTTTGCAGTCCAAAGGAATGAATCTGGGAGATTCAACTGCTTCTATACAAGGAGCAAGGAGACTTGTGTTGAAGTGTCTGTTTGTACTGTCCAACGCTACATGAAGAAGCTTGGTGTCAAATTACTTCAAAACAATTGTTTGGACAGGATTGTGTCCTTGAAGCCATAAACAATGCTCAAGAAAATCTTCTGAAAAGCAACGCTGGATATTTGTAGGATGGGAATGATATTAGAGTTCCCCAGTTAGTAATTGTATTGTGATTTTATTATTAACCAAGGTCCTTGAATTCATTATTGACATGTGTTTTTGTTTGGAGCTAGACCAATTTTTTATTATACCCTTAAAGCAACTCTGTCAAGCTTGTAAAAAACATGTGTATTGACTTCTAGGCCCCAATCACATCTGGTCTTGTGATGGGCATAATAAGTTGAAGCCATTTGGCATCACAATCTATGAATTTATTGATGCTTGGTCTCAAAAGATCTTAGGCATTTTTGTTCAGGTTATCAACAATGACCTCTGCCATGCCGCTTGCTACTTTCTTCATCTTGCATCAAAGGCTGGTGGATTACCATTCAAGTTAACCAGTGACTATGGAACCAAAATCATTGGTATGGCTGAGCTCCAGATGCACCTGTCTCAAACTTACGCTGGAATTACCACCAAGGAAGCAGTGGATTGCAAGAACTTTACCAAATCAAAAAATTGAATCACTCTGATCTCAAATGATGAAGCAACATAATAATCAATCAATCAAAGAAGACATAATGAATAAAATTGATGGTGGACGTTATGACCAAGAAGATGGTGTTCAAAAGTAAGTTCCTTGTTCTTTTCTACACATCACAATATAACAAGAATCTCATGAATTGCTTGTAGGCTGCTTTTTTTATTCCTGTGAGTACCAGTGTTCTGAAATCTGGATGGAATCATACAATCCAATAGACTCACTACTCTTCCAACTGGTGTCAGCCCGGAATTTGCTTAGAATACTTTACAGCTACTGACCAGCTTGTTTCAGTACCCCAAGCCACAATATCAGCTCAATCTGAGAACAACTATGCCCCAACAAGGGAGAATTATTTCAATCCACACCACTCAAGTTTAGTGAAGTTGCTTCATGAGTTATGGACCAGCTTGGTTTTGACTTTTCTAATATAGATCTTGGAAATAGGCCGGTTCACATCTGAAGTTCAAGGCAATTTTTAGCACATTTAATGATAAATTTTTATGAATTTTATCAAATCTCATGAATCATCAGGTTTGGAGGAATTTGCAAATTTTTAATGATAAATGTTGGTAATTTGCCTCAAAGCTCAGAGGTGAATTGTCCTAATGTGTGGCCTGCTTTTGCCACATGCTACGATTTATCCAAGAAGAGTTTGTTCCTTATACAAGTGACACCTCAGAGGAAAATTGAATCCCCTGAAATCATCATCTCTATGAAGTTTTTTTTTCTCTGGACACATCAATCATTTCTCTTGTGCATCTCTGGTGACCTTCTGTCAAGCTGTAACAAACTTCCTTTGTGATTTCTTTACCCTTTCCAATCAATGTAAGGAACCCTTAGTTACTGGCCTGGATCATCAATTTTAAATAGTGTTTTGCTGCACTCATTTGAAATCAGTCATATTTTGTGCCAACCATTTGAAATGGATGAGACTATGTCACCTGTCAGCTCAATTGCCATTACAAACAAACAGTCCCATTTGTAATTATGTCTTTCACTCATCCAAAGATGGTATTGAGGATCCAGATGGGACATCACCAAAGTGGCCTGTTAACTCCCTCCCACTATAATTGCTGCTCAACCCCACCCATAAAAACACATTATCCTTTTTTTCATTTTGGTTGC